GATGGCTCGGGCCACCGGGAGAGACCGCGCCCGGCGGCGTGCCCAGCGGCTGAGCGTCACCCCCGGAGCCAGGAGGTGCGATTCCTGCAGGGCCCGTTCTGGGTCAGGGCTCCACTCCCCAGGAGGGGGCGGGCAGGAGGCGGCCGGTCCCTGATTCTCATCATTATCCTTTCTATTATTTTTAATTATTTGGTTTTTAGATGTATCTTTATTGTGGAAAGCATTGCAGAGGTCCCCCTTGTTCCCCACTGACCCCTCGAGCCTGACCCAGCCCCACTCCAGCCTGCACCACACGCGTCTGTGTCCATGGGCTACGCAGATACACATGTAGGTTCTTGGGTTAATCTCTTACCACCACCCCCACCCTCCCTCTGAATTGTTTTCGTTGTTATTGCCTCTCTCTCCCTCTTCCCTCCTCTCCGAAATCAATAACATTATTATATTTAAAGGAATAAAAGGCACCAGGAAGTGTGACGCCCAGGGGCTGGCTGTCGAGGGCTGAGTGCTCCCCGCACAGACACGCGCACAGGGTGTGCGTAGCGGCTCCGTGCGCAGCAGTCACAGCCCAGCGGCTCAGCCCCCGGCCTCACGCCCGCTCCGAGCGCTCCTCAGCGGGAGGGGTGGTGGTCGGCATCCCGGCTCCAGGCCCAGGACACACCAGGCCCAGGGCAAGCGGCCAGGTGCCCAGACGCAGGACGGTGGGATTCTGTCCTGGGAGGTCTGCAGAGAAGGCAGGGCCGGGAGGGGAAGGGGACCTGGGCTGGAAAGGGGGTGACTGCAAAGGGCCAATGTTTTGCGTAATGAACGCATCCTACATCTTGGTGGTGGTGGTTACACAACTGCCTGCACTTGTCACAACGCACACAATGACACCGAAAATGGTGACTTTTATGGTGGAGAAAATGCCTGTTTTTGCCCTGGCCGGTGTGGTTCAGTGGATAGAGCGTCGGCCTGTGAACTGAAAGGTCCCGGGTTCAATTCCGGTCAAGGGCACAGGCCCGGGTTGTGGGCTGGATCCCCAGTGGGGGGCGTGCAGGAGGCAGCTGATCCATGATTCTCTCATCATTGATGTTTCTCTCTCCCTCTCGCAAATTAAAAAAAAACATATTTTTTAAAAAATGCCTGTTTTCAAGGTTGCAGAGCG